ATCATCCTGACAATAACAGCTCTGTTTGAACATTGTTGCAGGCATTGTGTCAGTCTATCTCAATGAGGGTCTTCCTCTTCTTCACTGACCTTTACTTTACCAAGCATGATGTCCTTCTCCGTGTCTGGTCCTTCTTGATGACATGTCCAAAATGTATGAGACAAAGTCTTACTATCTTCCCTTCTTTGGAGCATTCTCTCTGTACTTATTCCAAAACAGATTTGTTCATTCTTTTCACAGTCCATGGTATACTCAATATTCATAGTCAACAACATATTTCAAAGGTATCAGCTCTTCTTCATTCTTCTTTACTCATTCTCCAGCTTTTGCATGCACATGACTCAATTGAAAATACCATAGCTTGGGTCAGGTGCATCTTAATCTTCAAAGCAACATCTTTAAAAAAAAAAAAAAAAACTTTAAAGAGGTATTTTGCAGCAGATGTGCCTAATGCAATATGTTCTTTGATTTCTTGATTGTGGGTTGTGGATTGATTGTGGATCCAAGTAAAATGGAATCCTTGACAACTTCAATTTTTTTCTCCATATATTATGAAGTTGTTTTCTGTCCCAGTTGTGAGAATTTTTGTTTTCTTTATGTTTGCATGTTATCCATACTGAAGGTTGTAGTCTTTGATCTTCATAAGTAATGCCTTAAGTCCTCTTTACTTTCAGCAAGCAAGATTGTGTCATCTGCATATTATAGGTTGGTAATGAGTCTTCCTTCAGTCCTGATGCCGAGTTCTTCATATCCTCCAATTTCTTGGATTATATGCTTAGTATACAGATTGAGTAACATGGTGAAAGGATACAACTCTGATGCATACCTTTCCTGATATAAAATCACACAGCATTCCCTTGTTTTGTTTGAGCCAACTGCCCTCGGGTCTGTGTACAGGTTGATAGACACTATCAATTTGCCTGTAGATAAATTGTAACAATTCATCTCCTACTCTTAAAAATTGCTTTTTTTTCACAGTCTTAAACACTGTGAACTGTTAAATTTTTTATACCAGCATTTGTCCTGGTAGATTAAAAATGATAATAGTTGTTTAATTGATGTTTGTTTGATAAGGCAGAGCATTTCCCTATAGGCCAGTTGTGTGTTTTTAACTGTCAGCTTCTTGGAGTTTACAACTCACTTTCCTAATGTGTTGAATTGACTGGTTCAGTAGTTTTATATGCTAATATGTGAGGAAATGAGTCCTTTACCTTTAGTATTAGTTTCAAAGTTACTCTATTCACCACCACCCTAGATTCTTATTTATCTCTCCAATTTTTTTATGGTATATTTTTTTATGCAAGGAAGTTTTAAAGTTTGTGTAATTAACATCTATCAAGTTGTTTGTTACATTATTACATTTAGGCTTTATACCAAAATTCTAAAACTGTTTTACATATTTTCTTATAGTACTTCTACATTTTCACATTTTATTTTAAATCTTAAATCCACATAAAATATATTTTCCTGTGCTCAGGAGTTAGGAAGAAATCATGCTTGTTTTTTTTATTCTTCAAAAATGGCTATTTGTCAGATAAGAAGCAACACCAGAGATGGAGACAGAGATGGGGACATGAAGAGAGGGAGCAGCTGAGGACTCTAAATTCATGGAAAGAGAGAGGGACTGAGAGCTGGCCGCCAGGAGGCAGACTTGCAGAATGTGCCCTTTGACTGTTTAAGTGATTATATACTCCTGAGTGGTTTTGTGTACATTAAAAAAAAAAAAAAAACAAAAAAACAAAAAACCAGAAGGAATCGAAGCAAATAGTGTTGAATGATGATTCATGGAGGGGATTGTAATGATTACAATGAAACGAAATTCGATGGGATGAGTATAAAACCAGTGTTCTCCCATGTAAACTATCACTTAATTCACAATAAAAACCTTTTTTTTTAAATGGCTATTTGCTCCAACACGAACAGTATTAGTTGAATGCATGTTTCCTCTATTCTAGCACATTGTTGTTGTTGTTAAGTGCCATGGAGTCAGTTCTGACTCATAGCGACCCTGTATAGAGTTTCCAAGGAGCTAGTGGGTTTGAACTGCCAACTGCGGTTTACAGTCCAGTTCTTATCCTGTAGGATATGAATGAATGAGAAAATGACTATATGCTATTCATTCTATTTACAAGTGTGCACTGAGTACTGTAAGCGAAAACTATATAGGTCTTGACCTGACAGGTATAATATATCATGTATGTTACATGGGTTGGCACCTAACAACAATAACAGCTTTGACAAACCAATCAACATCAAACAATAATTGGAAGTTTGTTTTTTGTTTTTTTTCCTAAATTTGATCTTGTTGCTGAAAATATAAACAGCAACACATACACCAATTCAACAGTTACTATGTGTACAAATCAGTGACATAGATTGCATTCTTTAAATTGTGCAACCACTCAACCTCCTTTTCTGAGTTGATCCTCCTTCATAAATAAAAAGTCACTCCCCTTAAGGTCCTATCTAGTTGCTGCTTCATTCTTAAAAGAGCATAATGCTCAAGGCAGATTACATGTAAAACTATTGATCAGTTTTTTGTTTTATTTTTATTGTTCAGTTTTAAGATAACTTTAGGTGATATTTTTTGTTTAAGGTTTAAAAACTGAGATAATAATTTTAGGGATTCATGCATTTTCATGGCTTCAGCAAGTCTGGAGTCCCTGTGAATTTGAAAATCAAGACCCCAGGCACTACAAAACTAGGGAGTAGAACAAAAGCATTAAACTTATTATTAGTTCTGTAACAAAAAGGGGCAGTAGTTAATCTTACAGTCCAGGAACAGAGGACCCTAGAACCATCAAGGAGAAGAGAACCAGAGGAATGTGGGACCCTATCCGGAGAATCAGCAACACCAGAGTAGAAGCAGAGGTGAAGACATGGAGAAATAGAGGAGCTGAGGACTCTAGAGTCATGGAAAGAGAAAGGTTGTGTGCTGGCAGAATGAGCCGTTTGGCTGTTTAAATTATATGTTCCTGTGTGCTTTTATGTACATCAAAGAAACAAAAGCCAGAGGGAATAGAAGCAAATACTTTTGAATGATGATGCAAGGAGTAGATTGTAATCATTGCAATGAAACAATGAGTGTAAACCCATTTTTCTCCCATGTAAACTGTCACTCAATTCACAATAAAAATTTAAGAGAAAAAAAAAAAGTGTGTGTGTGGGAATTTACAACATTTAGGTCTTTTGAGGAACCAACTGTACCTAGAAGTTCAGATCTTAATATACAGGTAATACTTTCAGGGAGCTCTAGTGGTGCAGTGGTCACGCACTCGGCTGCTAACTGAAAGGTGGACTGTTTGAACCCATTAGCTACTGGGCTTCAGAACAATGGAAACCATATGGGTCATAACAGTTTGGTCTGGTTCTGTAGTACATGAGGTAGGGAGTAGACTGGAGGACAGCTGAGAATAATGTTTCCAACCCATTAAATTACTTTCTTGTCTATTACTACCCGGAGTCTTGGTGTGACGTTGTGGGCTAATGCGCTGGACTGCAAAGTCGGTTTGAACCGCAAAGTCCATGGTTCAAGCTCACCAGCTGTTCCTTGGAAACCCTAAGTAGGGTCCGAACCGACACTACATTGTTATCCACCCAAAGAAGAAAAAATACGTATAAAGTCTAACAGTCTGAAAATTCTTTGGTGAGTCAACTAAAACGTTTAGAGAAGTTTTGTATCACAGAAAAACCAAAGGAGCTCTGGTAGGGTAGTGGTTGCAAGTAGGGCAGCTAACTTCAAGATCAGCGGTTTGAAACTACCAGCTGATCCGCGGGGGGTGGGGGGGGGAATACGAGACTTTCTGCGTCTGTATAGTCTCGGAAACGCTATTCAGGGTCGCTATGACTCGGAACTGACTCCACGCTGCACATCACCACCACGACCAAACCATCTTCATGAGTATTGCTAAACTTGAGTCCATTGTTTCTACCAAGGTGTCAATCCATCTCAACAAGATAAACTATTGCTAAAATCTGAGCAATGTTCTCATTCTCTATTTGATGCACACAAGTGTCTCCCATAAGGCCAAGAGGGAGGCGCCTAGGGCACAAATTGTTAGTAGTCAGAACTCAGAGAGCTAGCACCTCTTTAAAATGTGCACCCCAGGCACCTGACCCTATTTACAGCCCTTCATTGTTTAGGAGTCCTGGTGTGGCGCTGTGGGTTAATGCACCAGACTGAAAAAACGTTTGAAGTGCAAGGTCATCAGTTCAAGCTCACCACCTGCTCCTCGGAAACCCTATACAGGGTCGCTATGGGTCGGAACCGACTCGACGGCACTTCACAACAACACAACATTCATTGTTCAATAAGTGGACTAAGGAGTCTTTCCAAAACTCCCAGGTGCCATTAAACTAGTAATTCCACCCACTCCACCTCGGTTCCAAAGTAAGAATTTGTTCCACAGGAGACGCTAAGTCAAATACGGTCATAAGTTTTGCTCTGATGATGAGTCTTCTCTCTATACCGTGGCAGTCAGCGCTGGGCAATGCCGCGACTTCATTGGTTTATTGAACAACTCTTAATGGCCGAAGATATGAAGTAAAGAGCTATTTCTTAAACCTGTTTTTCTCGGTAAATTGAGCGTACCAACGTGTTTTGGATACACATTGTCAACAGCTGAAACCGAAAGAATCAATCTCAAACAACAACTACTGCAGAGATCTGCACACAATCGAGGCAAAAGACTTTGCGCCTCTGCAGAATGCCGGTTTCGGGGTGCTAGAACTGGGTCCTCGGGTGGTTGACGTCCGGGCACTGCAGGTCTCAACCACAGTGAGGACATGGCTCTACCCACGAACGGGGGTGTTTTCCTCCCTGTGGGTCTCGTAGAGCTACTGTACTAAGAAAGCCCGAGAAGTTGGCATATCAAGAAGTCAGGCGGATCCGCGGACAGCCCCGTGTGCTTAAGGGTCCTGGCGGCTATTGCGGCGGGCGGGAAAGAGGAAGTTTCAAAGCTGAGGCTTGGGGCCAGCCTGTAGCCACTAGGAGCGGCAGGATGAAGCTGCACTGCGAAGTGGAGGTGATCAGCCGGCATTTGCCGGCCTTGGGGATGAGGAACCGGGGCAAGGGTGTTCGGGCGGTGCTGACCTTCTGTCAGCAGACGTCCAGAAGTCGGTCGCGGCCCCAGGTCGGGAGCGAGCCGATCGACCTGCACTCTGCCTGCCTGCTCATCTCCACCATGAAGGACAAGCGCGGGACCCGATATGAGGTGCGTGGAGCTGGCAGACCCTGTCGGGGAGGCGGGCCGCCCTTGGGCCTCACGCGCCTGGCGTTTCCCGTGCCTGGTATCCGCCGTCGGTGCTCTTGAGCACCGGGTCTCTGAGCCCCATCACTATCGCAGGCCCCTGGTCCTGGATTTCCAGCTACGAATCCGAAGGACGAAAGCTTTTTGAGTGCGATTTGTGTTTTTTGGTGCTATTTCTGCATCTCCCCGCGCCCCACCCCCATTTGTTTTTACTTCAGGTTTTTCATATCTGCCGAGCATTAGTAAACTTTCAACAAGTCCGTTGAAAATTGAAGTCGAATTTTAAAGCATAGAGTTTATGAAATCTTTTCCTTTATATATATTTTTTTTGTGAAAATAACTGGAATCCCTTTGTATAATGTTTCAAATAAAACTGAGAGGACAATTCATCGCTCACCGTTGCATCTGATTGTTGATTGGGCTTCATACATTTTCATGGATTAGTTTCCTTACAATATTGTACATAGCAATGAATGTTCTTAACTGAGTTAGGAAACTGTTACTGTTTGATTTAGCACGGCCGATGTGGGTTGAGCATTGAATTCCTAGCCGCTTTGAGGGAGTAAGATGCTCCCAGAGATTTAATGGTTACGAATCCGGCTGGGAATTGAAAAGTCAGCAGTTCGAAACTACCAGCTGTTCCGCGGGAGACAGATGAGGCTTTCTGCTCCCATAAAGATTTACAGTCTCGGAAACCCTGTACAGGGTCACTGTGAGTCGGAACCGACTCCACAGCATATAACCAACAACCACCACCAAGGAGACAAGAAATAAAACGACGTATTGCATTAGGCAAATCTACTGCACAAGACCTTTTTAAAGTGTTGAAGAGCAAAGATGTCAGTTTGAGGAACCAAAGCCATGGTTTTTCAGTAACCTCATATGCAGGCGAAAGCTAGACAGTGAATAAGGAAGACTGTAGAAGAATTGATGCTTTTGAGTTACGGTGTTGGAGGAGAATAGTGAAAGTGCCATGGGCTGCCAAAAGAACCAATAGATCCGTTTTGGAAGAAGTGCAGCCAGAGTGCTCCTTAGAGGCCAAGATGGCCAAACTTCGTCCCTCATACTTTGGACATATTGTCAGGAGGGACCAGTCGCTGGAGAAGGATATCATGTTTGGTAAGGTGGAGGGCCAGAGAAAAAGAGGAAGACCCCCAACGAGATGGACTCAAGCAAGGCAACAGTGGTGAGGTCGGCCCAGGATCGGGCAGTGTTTCGTTCGGCTGTGCATAAGGTCACTATGGGTCGATACCGACTGTATGGCACCTAACAACAACAGAGGAGCCCTGGTAGCTTAGCATAGTGGTTACGAATCGGGCTGCTAACCTCAGGGTCAGCAGTTCGAAACTACTACCTGTTCCAGGAGAGGAAGATAAAGCTTTCTGCTCCCTTAAAGATTTACAGCCTCGGAAGCCCTGTACAGGGTCACTTTGAGTCGGAACTGATGCCACGGGCACATGACAACAACAAGGAGTCCTAATGTGAGTCTTGGTGTGGCGCTGTAGGATAAGCACTCAACTGCAAGGTCGGTTTGAACCTTAAGGTCAGTGGTTCAAACCCACCAGCTGCTCCTCAGAAACCTTGCAGGGAAGTTATGTGTTGGAACCAACTCAACAGCACTAAACAACATGCGTCAGAATCGTTTATCACAGTGGGTTTGGTTTTTGGTTATTAATGTTTAATGTAAGTAGTTGAAAATCTAAAGATTTTCCTCTGATCATGAAATAAATTTATATAATTTTTTTAGATTAAAATATTGTATCAGTCACCCATTATTCTATAGATTAGAAAATTTAGATGATAGAAGCCAACTGGCATGTATTATTGGGTCTTCCATAACCATTTGTTGGTTGAATTCAGGTGGTATTGGGTCTGGACCTTAATGAATATTTGCAGGTATTAGTGCTAAAACTGGGACATGCCTTAGGACTCTTTCTTACACTATTTTCTATGACTTCAGTTACCATTCATCTGACTATAACTCCCAAATCTGTACTGTTCTTTCTCTTTCATAACTTCAGATTTGAATCTGCTCCTTACTGGATCTTCGCCTGGCTATGTTGCTACATTTTAAAATAAAAATATCTAAGCATTAATTTTTCTTACTATAGCATAGGGGTTACAAGTTGGGTTGCTAAAACTGTAAGGTCAGTACTTCAAATCTACCAGCTGCTTCACAGAAGAAAGATGAGACTTTCTGCTCCCTAAAAATTTATAGCCTTGGAAACCCTATACAGAAACACTATACAGAGTGGCTGTGAGTTGGAACTGACTCCATGACAAACAACCACCACCAGTCCTAAACCTGTTTTTCTACAGTGTTTTGCAATTCATTAATTAGCACTCCATCCAGAAACCTGAAAGCCCTTGCCTCCTACATCCAATATATCATTAAATCCTTTCAATTCTACTTCCTAAATATCTTTCAATATGTATACTTCATTAGCCAGTGTCAGATTACCCCATAAGCAAGATTGTTGTTGTTAAGTGCTGTCAAGTCAATTCCAACTCATAGCGACCCTGTATAGGGATTCCAAGGAGCAGCTGGTGAGCTTGAACCACTGACTTTGCAGTTCAGACGACTTTGCAGTCTGACACATTAGCCCACAGCGCCACACCAGGACACCATATAAGCAGGGCTTATTTGTACTTAGTTACTAATTTGTAGTGAAAAAGATGTGGTAAAACTCACGTGAAACTCCTCACTACAATGTAAGACCTTGCTTACCTTGCTAAGTAGATAACTCACCCCTGGTCCCAATTGTAGTGGAAACCACCATCATTCCTTGCCTGGTTAGTCTCTTAAGGAAATCTTCCAATCTCTACTGTTGTACCTTTCCTTATCTCAGCTTACCCTCCTCCAAAGTTCATTCTTTACGTTGCAATGAAAGAGATCTTATGTTCCCTGCCTTAAAATCTTTCAATGAATTTCATTGTTCTTAGGTTAAAAATTTAAAAATTCTTAACATAGTTTACAAAATCTTTTACCATCTAGTCTCTAACTCTCCAAACTCACTTGCCTACCTTTTCACTTGGACCCTTCACCCATATTGAACAGCTGCTAAGCTCTCTTGTACCTTTGCACATATTATCCCTTTTTACTGGAATGATAAGACCTACCTCTTTCTTCCCCCTGTATTTTTACTTGCCTAACATCTAATCCTTCACTGATCACCTTTAAGATCACCACTATACTCCTAGACTAGGTTAGATTTTCTTGCTATAAATGGTCCTATAGAAAGCTGCACTTAATATTTGCACTTGAAATTACTTGTAAATACAGATGATAAACTCTTTAGGTGTAGTTATCATGCCAGTCTTATTCAGCAGATTTATGATGTTAGGTGCTGTCGATTAGATTCCGGCTCACAGCGAACCTCTGCACAACAGAACTGCACAACACTGCCTGGTCCTGCGCTTTCCTAACAATAGTAGGCGTTTGAGCCATACCAGGACTCCATTTTGCACGTAGAATCCTTTCGTATTGCAAGTCTAGGCTTGAATTTTTTTCTTCAGCTCGATCAGCTTTAGAAATGCTGACTATGTTCTTCCCTTATGGTTTAATAACTTTAGGTCTTCACATATTTCATAATAATACTTTCCTTTGTCGTCTCGAGCTGCCTCTTTATATATATATTTTTTATTTTATTTTTTTTTAAGGTTTTTATTGTGGATTGAGTGAAAGTTTACAGGGCACATCATCAGTTTCACATTCAACAATTCATATAACTTGTTTCATTACATTGATTATAATCCCCTCCATATACCATCAGTTAAAAATTTCTCTCTATCCACTTTAGCTTTTTAAAAAACACACAAACAAAAAAACCCACTCAGGCATATATAATAATTTATATCTCCAAAGGGCACATTCTGCAAGTCTGCTCCTGGCCACCAGTTCTTAGTCCTTCTCTTCTTAGTTGATGAATCTAGAGCCCTCAGCCGCACTCCCTCTCCATGCCCCCATCTGTTTATATTTTCTTTTACTTCTTCATTTCTTCCAAACACTTTAGGTACTCTACATTCAAGAGCATGTTCTACTAGAGTCTCTTATGAAACCTCCATTTTGGTCTTTTTCTTTTTTTCCTGTCTTTTCAATGGCCTTTTGCTTTCTTCATGGTTGATCATCTCGATGTCATCCCACAACCGTCTAGTTTTTGGTGGTTAATGTATAATTCATCACATCTTTTCTTGAGATGATTTCTAAATTCAGGTTGTGTACACTCAAGGTCATATATTGACTCTCATGGATGTGTTTTAAATTTCTTCACCTTCATCCTGAATTTGCATATGAGCAAGAGATGGTGTGCTCCCCAGTTAGCCCCTGGCCTTGTTTTGACAGATGACATTGAACTTCTCCATTGTCTCTTCTCACAGATGCAGTCAATTTGATTCCTGTGTATTCCATATGATGAGATCCATGTATATGTTTAAAAAGATTTGCAATGAATAAGTCACTGATCTTAAAAAATTATATCATTGGATCTCTAGCATCACTTCTTTCACCAAGGCCATATTTTCCAACTACTGATCCTTCCTCTTTGTTTCCAACTTTTGCATTCCAATAACCAGTAATTATCAATGCATCTTAATTGCATGTTTGATCAATTTCAGACAGAAGAAGTTGGTAGAATTCTTCATCTTCAACATTATTGGCTTTAGTGGTTGGTGAGTAAATTTGAATAATGGCATTGATTTTAACTGTTAGGTGTGTGGATAGTGTTCTATCACAGACAGCGTTATACTTTTAAGATCTTGAAATTATTATTTTTGACAAAGACTGCAACGTCATTCCTCTTCAGTTTGTCATTCTCTGCATTAGTAAACTGTATGATTATCTGATTTTAAATAGCCAGTACCAGTCCATTTCTGCTCACTGATACCTAGGATTTCAATCTTTAGTCACTGCATTTAATGTTTGGCAACTTCCAGTTTTCCCAATTGGAAAATTCATAATTCATACATCCCATGTTCTGATTATTAATAGATATTTTCAACAGTGTCTTCCCACTTTAAATTGTGCAACATTAACAAATAAAGGTCCTGAAATCTCTACTCCATACCTTTCATTATGGTCAGCTCTACTCTGCGGAGGCAGCTCTTAGCCATTCATATTTTGAGTGCCTTCCAACCCAGAGGACTTGTCTCCAGCACTATATCTGACAGTGATCTGCTGTTCTGTGTAAGGTTTTCATTCAGACCATTCAGAACTGGTCTGCCTCTCCATCCTAGTCTGTTAGTCTGGAAGCTCTACTGAAACCTGTTCATTATGGGTGATCCTGTGTGTATTTAAAATACCAGTGACATGGCTGCCAACATCACAGCAACACACAAGCCACCGCAGTACGATAAACAAGAGTCCTGGACCTGATTCGTAGAAGCTTCTTAATAATTGAGTTTAATGGGGATACAGTAGCGAACAAAGCGGGGGGGTGGGAGGGCAAACGCCTGCTTTTACAGATTTTATAATCTAGAGGAAGGCATATTTACCCCAGATTATTGGACTGAAGTTATGAAGGCAAAGTAACGTCTATGGGAAGAGGGGAGCATTCTCCCACACACAGGATTCTGTACCAGAAGAGGAAAGTATTACTGGATAGAAACAAAAACATTGTGCTTAGATGAGGGATGTAACTACCCAACTCCTAAAAAACAAACTATGAAACACTCAAGAGTTAAGGAGCAAAAGCCAAACCAAAGATTAATAAAGTGACTGGCATATTGTAATTGTTAATTACTCAATAACAATAGAGTTTTGTTTTTTCCTCCCATTGCTTTTAATCAGCTAAAGGAGAACATTGAGCAAGTCTTCACCAAATTTGTGGATGAGGGGAAAGCCACTGTTCGGTTAAAGGAGCCTCCTGTGGATATATGTCTAAGTAAGGTATGGTATTAAAAACATTTATGATTGGGTTGCTTAACTGTATTTTTTTAAAAGAAGGCTGTTTATGCATAACCAAAGAGAAATGATGGAGTATTTAAGGACATTTGAAAAAGTGACAGCACATAAGCAGCTCCCCAGAATAAGTATACTATGTGTCTTCACATTTGGTAAGGCTGTCCAGGAGAGAAAGGGAAACTGCTAACTTTGCTTCTGTGCCCAACATGGAGTCTTGTTGTTGTTATGTGCTGTGAAGTCAGTTCTGACTCATAGCAACCCTGTACAGGGTTTCCGAGGCTGTAAATCTTTACAGGAGCAGAAAGCCTCATCTTTCTCCCGTGGAACAGCTGGTAGTTTTGAACTGCTGACTGTCAGATTAGCAGCCTGATTCATAATATGCTAAAACTCTGGAGCTCTATGAGGCAAATGGCATAGCATATATTGCCTATTGCTTACAAACCACAGCTTATAAATACACGTTTGGTATAAAAAAGGGTAAGGTGCAATTAGAACCATCTTTTTTATTTTTTATTTTTGTATTTACTTTAATCATTTTTTAAATGTTTTATTGTGAATTATGTGATAGTTTACATGGGAGAACATTAGCTTTACATTCATCCTATTGTATATCGTTTCATTGCCATGATTACAATCCCCTCCATGCATCGTCAGACAACCAAAGAATATACTCTGCAAGCCTGCCCCCTGGTTGTCAGCACACAGTCCCTCTCCCTCTCTGGGTCTAGAGTCCCCAGCCACTCCATCTATCCACGTCATCGTCTCTGCCTCCATCTCTTGCATCGCTGTTTCTCTGGGTACGGTCCTGTGCTCTGCTCTTCTCCCTTGATGGACCCAGGGACCTCCGTTCTTGGACGGCAAAGTCAACCACTCCCCACCTTCTGCTACAAAATATCTACCTTTACATTTCCAACCCTCACAGTCAGTCCTGATAGCAATTATTCACTATTGTACCACATGAGTGCTATCCCATCTCTTTTCATCAACCCTGCCCAGACAGATTGGATACAACTCAGTGGAGATTCTACCTTCCTCCATTCCCTCTGGATCTAGGCTCCCTCTTGAAAGCTTATAAACCAGTCACTTCTTGCCTTTGTAGCCCCCGATTTTGGGTAGTCAGTGTCCAAGTTGCCCATCTCTGTCTACCCTAGGAATGATCCTTGCTGTAAAGATTTGTTCTCTCTTTTGAGCTACTGCATCTATAGGTGTAGGTCAAGTTCATCAAATTGTATCAGATTGCTCTGTTTCTTCTTTGTTCTTCTAGTTGAGCTCTGATCCTCCAGCCATTGAAGCTAAGTCAAGTGGGCATTATCTGCAAATATGAGTATTCTTATGCATATGCCCTCACTTATCAGCTTGACGCTTCACTCTCCACTCTAATTCTCTGTGGCTATGTCACTGACTGTGGGCCCAAGAGTCCTCAGGTCTTGAAATACCTCTGGCCAACCAGGTCTCCACCCAGGTTCGCAGGAGTCTATTGAACGTTGTAGGGCTTAGCTTGCAGCTTCAGGGCTTGTTTTCCCTCACTTCCCCTTATTGATGACCAACGTGGCCACCAGTCAGAGTGCATGTCTGCTTGTGTATACCCACTGAGTACTTTAATCATTTTTTGATAACTGCGTACACTATTAAAATAACAGAAACCAATTTGTTTTCCATGTCCTACACCCCTTCTCTTCTTTCCACATCCTGGAATATAGGAGCAGTGTTTTTCCAACCTTTAATTCCAAGAGTATTTTGCAACCATTGAACTGTTTAGAAATTTAGCCAAAATAAAATACTTAAAAATATTTTTTATAGCCATTTTCAGTAAATGATTGTATGCCTTTTGGATAGTATGTAACTGCAGAATTTGTTTTAGGAAGAACTGCATGCACATATTACCTGAAATGAAATTTATAATTACACAACTTATTTTTATTTATTTAGGCCAATTCCAGCAGTTTAAAGGGTTTCCTGTCAGCTATGAGACTGGCTCACCGAGGCTGTGATATTGAAACACCACTTTTAACCCTCACACCAGTGAAGACTTCAGACTTCGAAAAATTTAAAACTAAAATGATTATCACTTCCAAAAAGGATTATCCTTTAAACAAAAACTTCCCATATTCTCTAGAACATCTTCAGACTTCTTACTGTGGGCTTGTCCGAGTTGATATGCGTGTGCTTTGCTTAAAAAACCTTAGGAAATTAGACCTGAGCCACAACCATATAAAAAAGCTTCCAGCTACAATTGGAGACCTCATCTACCTTCAAGAACTTAGCCTTAATGACAATCACTTAGAGTCCTTTAGTGTAGCCTTGTGTCAGTCTACACTCCAGCAATCTCTTCGGAGTTTGGATCTCAGCAAGAACAAAATTAAAGCACTCCCTATACAATTTTGCCAACTCCGAGGACTTACAGATTTAAAACTTGATGATAATGAACTGATTCGATTTCCTTTCAAGATAGGACAACTGAAAAACCTACATTTTTTGTCAGCATCTCGAAACAAGCTTCCATTTTTGCCTAGTGAATTTAAAAAGTTATCCCTTGAGTACTTAGATGTTTTTGCAAATACATTTGAACAACCAGAAGTTCTACCAATCATAATGCTGCAAACACCATTAACTTTATTGGAATCTTCTGCACGAGCCGTATTAGATAATAGGTAAGACTTTGTTGTTGTTAAATGCTGTCAAGTCAATTCCAACTTATGGCGACCCTGTATAGGGTTTCCAAGAAGCCACTGGTGTGTTTGAACTGCCAACCTTTGGGTTAGCAGTCCAGTGCATATCCTACATCAACACACCAGGACTCTGGTGACTTTGTTGTTGTGAAGTTCCATTGAGTCAGTTCTGACTTGTTAAGTGGAGTCAATTCTAACCCATAGCTACCCTGTATAGGGTTTCTGAGGAGCGACTAGTGAACTTGAACCACTGACCTTGCAGTTCAAACCGACCTTCCAGTCCAGTGCATTAACCCAAAGCGCTACACCAGGTGAGTTTGAACTGCCAACCTTGTGGTTCAAACTGACCTGTCTGCCCAGTGCTTATCCTACAGTACCTACTCCATAAATATTTGAACAAATGAAGGACCTAGTGCATTGTTTCTCAAAGTATGGTCCCCCAATCAGTAGCATCAGTATCATTTAGGAACGAACTTGTTAGATGCAAGTTCTTGGAACTCAAACTGGGGCCCAGCGCTATTTTGATAACAAGTTATTTAGCCTCTGTGATTCAGTTTTCTCATCTGTGAAACAAATAGTAATACCCACTTTACAAATTGTTATGAGAATAAATAGTGTGTGGCAAAGCATTCAGCATGCAGTAGAACTCAGTAGCTGTTGATTATCTTCCCTTAGTCTTTGAACAATGACTGCAGTTGATTCCATGAGATTCTGAATTCTAGTTAATCATTTTATTCATATTTCCCAAATATAAGAGTGACCACACTTTGAATACTAAGGATCTGAAAATCGCTAAGGACTCACTGTTATTATTATTTTTAAATAAATGTTTTGTTGTGAATTGTGTAATAGTCTACATGGGAGAACATTAGTTTTACATTCATTCTATCTGCTGTTATTTTAAGCCAGTGATTTTCAAAGTTCGGATATAAATCAAGTTTTTTTGAGTATTTAGAAAATGGTAGAAAGATAATATTTCAAAGAAGAGATTTTAAACTCTTAAAAAACTGACAAAGTTATGGGCACACAAAATAAACATGAAGCACAATTTTTTTTTTTTTTACATTCAACAAATCGTATACTTTGCATTACAATGATTGCAATCCCCTCCAAGAATCATCAGCTAACAGTATTTATCTCTAGTCGCTTTAACACTTGCATTTCTCCCTTATGCATAATATTTAATAGTGTTCATGGATCCATTTTCAGTCCTTCTTCCTCTCAGTCTGAAGGATAAGAACTCTTATTCTAAAGCAATGATTTTCAAACATGAGAACCTTCTGAAAATTCTGATAAATAGTCCCCACTCCAAGACTAATTAAATCAAAATCTTTTGGGGTTTTGTCTGACAAAAAACTAGGTTTTATTTCTTATTTACCTACCAAGAGATTGTAGGATACAAGGTGGATTCAGAAGTTCATGGGAAAATCGAATTAAAAATTATGTCATTTTTCCACAAACATCTTGAAGTCCCCTTGTGCACAGCTAACTAGGATTGAGAATCACTGCTTTTCACTCATACTTCTCACATGTGCATTTAGATCACCTTAGCCCATTCTCTTCCAGAGGCCAGGGGTAAAGATTCTGCATGAAAACCATTAAGGAATCACTTGTTTTAAGTCTGATTCTCAGACTTAACGAGTGCATCAAGACGTTTATTAAAACATGGTATATATTATCTACCTCCTTTGCCTTGAGACCATTACTGAACATTTTAATCAGATTCTATAAAAGAAACTTGATTAAAAGGGGGGGAAATGCAGAACAGATTTTCACATTTTTATGGAATTTTTCTGTAGGCATGAAGCTGGATGAGCCCCCAAAACTATTGCACTAAAATAATGTTTAGACTTGGGACCAAAAATATTGCCCTGGAATCCTCTTAAAATCAAACTATGGTGATGGTAGTGTGCCGTGGAGTCGGATCTGATCATAGCAACCCTGCAAGGGCTTCTGAGGCTATAACAGGATTCATCTTTCTCCTATGGAGCAGCTGGTAGTTTCAAATTGCTGAGCTTGAGATTAGCAGCCCAATTCATAACCATTGAGCTACCAGAGCTCCTTAAAATCAAACTATAATTTAGCTAAATTAGTAAAGAATACTACTTTGAGCCTTATGCTCTTTTAAGATCTTTCTATATAGCTCTTTTGGAAGATTATGTCAATATAGGATCAAGTTGACAGCAACTCAATAGATAGAAATCTGAAGGGGCAATTAATTTATGTTCATGAGGGAGGAATAACTCAAAATGAGAATAATTCAAAAAATGGATGGGTGCACACCTGAAGAATGTAATCATTGTCATTGAATTATACATGTACAAATTTGAATTAGTATGTATTTTGCTGTGTATGTTGTTAATACCAACAAAATATCCCCCCCCCCCCCCCAAACAGATAAACACAGTGCTTGTTAAAGTACAGAACCCTGCCCTCTAGAGTTTCTGGTGGCTTGGAGTGGGAGGGTCCCAGAAACTATATTTCTAACAAGTTGCCTGGTGATGCTGATGCTGCTAGTCAGAGGACCAGTATATGAAGGACCACTTTGAGAACCAATGATGTAAAGCATTGACTCTTAATTAAGAGTTAAAAATTACCCGAAATATGACAATATTTGAAAGTGCCTGGACTGTACCTGGCTCATAAAAGGTCTCAAATATTACTTCAGATGTTTAAATCTTAAGTGGTGATACTGATAATTCAGGTGAAGACCACTGAGTTAAGGGAAATGCTAAATGGTGTATTTTGGGAATTTGTGCTCTGGGGAGACTCTTGTTATATGCTTTTTCTTAGTCTTGAATATGAAAGAAATAATATACAATTAAAAATGTTTTTCAAGGATTTGAAAAGACCCTGACACATTGGCTAAATGGTCAGATAAAAACAGAAATCCAACAGAAAAATGCAGAGTTGAAAGAAACAGGATGTTAAGTGCCATAGAGTTGGTTCTGACTCATAGTGACCTATAGTGTTTTCGAGGCTATAAATCTTAGTGGGAGCAGAAAGCCTCATCTTTCTTCCACAGAGTGGCTTGTGGGCTCAAACTGCCGACCTTGTGGTTAACAGTCTAGTGCTTATCCTACAGAACCACAGTGCTCCCGAAGTTGACAGAAATAAGTTGAAGAAATAAGATAGATGAGCAAAATGTGATATGAATAATAGGCAAAGCACAACTCAGCAGAAAAGCAATCTGGTAGTACTGAATAGTTTGATGTGCTCCTTTTCAGACTTTCTGATAGGGCTTTAAACTCTATTAAGAATAAGTTTGTTAAAAAAATAGATGATTATCTATTGTGTGTCAGACCATAAAAAAGAACAAGACCATGTATGGGAGACAATGTGTCTGGGGCATAGTTGTGTTTGGAGAAGCAGAATCACACAGTGGGCCAGAAGTCTCAAGAGATGGCTTCTTAGGGTCTTGTAGGTGTTTGACTTGATTTTAATTGCATTGGCACCATTGAAGAGTTTTGAGCAAGAGAGTAAAATGATGCAAGCAAGGTTAGCCTTACTCAACCAGTAAAATACAACAAAACTAGTAACACAAGTAATATGTGTTTCTAATTTGTTTTACACAGTATAAAATGTCTTTAAACAATTGGTGCATGGAATGACTTGTTTCTTCACAGCTAGAATTTAGTAATTCTCCCATTACAAAGTCAAAATCATGTCCTGCCTTCAAATTTTTAAAATTGTGTGACAGCTACACATTTAAATTATGTTTTAGTAGTTATACAAAATGATTACATAAAGAACAAGTCACTCTTGTATTCTTTGGTTGTGCTGAAAGATACTTTATAGATTGATCTAGATCTTACATTAACAATATTTATGGTACCTATTGGTAAGTTTTTCTCAGGTAAAAGATTCGCATAAGTAATAATTTCATTTTTCCATGGTTCTAAATCAGTGTCAGAATAATTATGTTCTAACACATGATGTTCTGAATCTAATAACAAAATATATTTAAACATTTTTTTTCCAATAGGATTCCATATGGCCCTCATATCATTCCTTTCCATCTTTGCCAAGATTTGGATACTGCAAAAACCTGTGTTTGTGGAAGATTCTGTCTAAACTCTTACATTCAAGCAACTACCACCATGAATCTACATTCTGTTGCTCACACTGTGGTCCTAGTGGATAACATGGGTGGTACTGAAGCACCTATTATCTCTTATTTCTGTTCTCTAGCCTGCTATGTAAATTCCTCTGATATGTTAAAGTAATAGGGGCTACCATAAAAAGAAATTTCATTTACTTACAGATCAGTTTGGGACTTGTCCAATTTAACAGCGCCAAATTGGACAAAGGGGAAGACTGTTATTCTAACATTTTAAATATTTTGATTAAGCATTTATTATACTAAACCTAATAAAATTTTATTTTTGGATTTACTTTTTATCAATTTTTTTCATAAATTTTAATTAAAGAAATTGAGTTGGTATGCAGAGTAAACCTTGGGTTGTTGCCATTGAGTCAGTTCCAACCCATAGCGGTCCTGAACAGGGTTTCCAAGGCTAAATCTTTATAGGAGCAGAAAGCCTCATCTTTCTTTCGTGGAGCAGCTGGTAGTTTCGAACTGCTGACCTTGTGGTTTGCAACCTGATTTGTAACCACTACGCTACCAGAGAGTGGCAATGGGAGAGGACTAATATTCTAAATTATAGTGACAACTTTTTTGAAATGAAACATGAAAATATGTAAGTATACTATTATTATATTTTTCAGGCATATTCTACATATGAGATTTATATTCACCAAGCATAAAGTAGGAGTTGCTTTGGGACAGACTTAAGCTTTCCTAAGTTTTAGAATATTTACCACATTATCTTTGTTGTGATTTCTATGTTTAATTTTTAGAATTGGAACATGGCTTTGAGATTGGGTGTTGCTGTTAGGTGCCATCGAGTCTGTACCAACTCATAGTGACCCTATGCACAACAGAACAAAACACTGCTTGATCCTGGGCCAACCTCACAATTGTTGACAACGCTTGAGCCCATTAATGCTGCCACTTTGCCAATCCATCTCTCTGGAGGGCTTCCTCTTTTTCTCTGACCCTCCACCTTATCAAACATGACATCCTTCTCCAGTGACTGGTCCTTCCTGACAGTATGTCTTAAGTATGAGAGACGAAGTTTGGCCATCCTGGCCTCCAAGGAGCACTCTGGCTGCACCTCTTCCAACACAGATCTGTTGGTTCTTTTGGCAGCCCATGGCACTTTCAATACTCTCCTCCAACACCATAACTAAAAAGCATCAATTATTCTATGGTCTTCCTTATTCACTGTCCAGCTTTTACAAGCATATGAGATTATTGAAAATACCATGGCTTGGGTCAGGTGCACCTTAGTCCTCAAGCTGTCATCTTAGCTCTTCAACACTTTCGGAGAACAATACTATTTTGTATTTGAAGTTTTTTGAAAAACATTTTTTTAGCTGTTTATAATCTTTTATGGAATGTTTTCATTTGAAAAGTAGCAATAGATCAATTAGAATACTATATTTGAAATAGGGCAAAAAAATTGAAAAAGAGGGAACCAACTTGAAATAATCTTGTAGAAAAGAAACTGTAGAACTACTCCCAATGCTTAACAGAGGGGGGTTACTAGAGAAAGCTCTTGTCAGGTTTAGCATTTTATCATTGTTTGGGTTTGAGGTAGGGAGAGGCCTATATAAAATTATGCTTCAAGTATTATACATTCTTCCATTATCTCCCTAAAATGTTATTTGGGACATTTTTCTCCCTTAAACATTGTCTTACTTTTATTAAAACATCGTCTTAATGTAATAGCCCAAACGTAGTTTCTATTCAAAGCTGATTACTGAACTATAGTAATATTTCAGGTGAATTTAAATTTGTATTGTGCTAGTGAGTGGTCAGATTCTACCAAAAAAATACTATATTAAGATTTTTTTCACTTAAAAAATGTATTATGTATGTTAAATTAAAAAAATCTGCCCATTCTGTACCCATTTTGTTCCAGTATTTTATATAATCCTTATCAGTAACGAAGTAAGATATAAACCCAGATCAGAGATTTCAAGCCCAGACCTTTTTAACTGCCTTCTAAAGTTAATTCCTGATGTGGTAGTGTGGGTTAATGCGCCATACTGCGAAGCAGTTTGAACTGCAAGGTTCAAGCTTACCTAGCTGCTCCTTGGAAACCCTATACAGGGTCGCTATGGGTCAGAATTGGCTCGATGGCACTGAACAACAAAGTTAATTCACTTCTGGTCTCTAAGGCCAAGAATTTTATCAAATGCAGCTATAATTAGGAACCTTGAGTTGATTCTGACTCAGCAATCTGTGTAAGGTTCCTGAGAAGCATATGGTAGGTTTGTTCTGCTGACCTATGGTCATCAGTCTGGTGATCATCCCATAGCATCACACTGTTGTTAAGTGCCATCAAGTTGCAAGCCTGCATAGGATATCCAGAGTGACTGGTGAGCTCGAACTGCCGACCTTGAAGTTCAAACGGCTTTACAGTCTTGGCACATTAACTCCAATGTCACACCAGAACTCCGTAGTAATGTATATTGGGAATATAGTTGCTGATGATTTCCGCTTACAGAAACCCTACACATGTAGATAACTCCATAGGATTTTCAAGGCTGATCTTCCAGAAGCACATCACCAGCCCGGTCTTGGTGTATTTGAAGCAATAAGCTTTAGGCTAATAGTTGAGGGCTTACCATTTGCACCATCCAGGGACTCAGTGCCAACAAGCTGTTACTACACCTTAGTCCTTTGCCCTCTTTCTTCTAACTACTCATCTACAAGCCATCTACCTGTACTTTCTGAATAGACATTTGTGATTAGCAGTTCGGTGGAGCTTTTTCTACAGTGCCACACCAGTACTACTCCGTAATATATTTATCTCCTACTTAAGATGACAAAAGCTATTCAACCCCCCATGTCAAAGTATTACAACTTCCAAGTAACCTCCTGGTGTGGCACTGTAGGCTGTGGTTCAAACCCAACAGCCACTCCTCAGAAATCCACGAAATAGTGAGGCTGGTGACTTTTTTTTAACTTTCACTATCTTCTGAAGTTTATGCAATTGGAAATTAATTTTGAACTCCAGCCTCACTGTCTTAAACAGTGCTACCCAAAAGAATAATTTGCAGCATATTAAGGTAGTCACCATACAGGGTAGCCAGTAGTTCAGTGTAGGATAAGCACTGGACTGCTAACAATAAGGGTGGTTCAAGTAAACCACCTGGCTCCTTGGAAACCTTATGCAGGGTGGCTATAAGCACCAATCCTACAGGACTTAAAAAAATAGCATAGCCACTGAAATCTGCTATCTATAAGTTTGGCTTAGCTACTTCTCTTTTTTCAAAATCTGAGTCTCTTCCCAATCATAAATTCCCTCATGTTTGAAGTGTCGGTTCTCCCCTATATAATTCAACTCTAGCCTGGCTGTAAAGTTTGAGGTAGGGTTCTTCTATATATAAATACAAAACTCTAATTCTTGTGGAACTGAATATATAGTGCGAATTTGGTTAAGAGGATAGACTTCAGTTCACTTCCAAATAATTTACCGATTTCCCTTAATTCAGAATCACATGCAATTCTAATAAAGAAATTTTAAAACACAAAGGTCTGATTAATATCACTTTATTTTACTACAGGTAATTTTTCTATTGCATCAGCATTTTTTTTTTCCACATTAAAAAAAGGAAAACACTTAGAACTGGATCACTTGGCCCTTTCTCTTCTTATCGCCTCCCAGTTCAAAATGCTTGCATCTCTTAATGGCCAGCATCCTCTTGGACCTGCAGTTAGGCTCCACACACTCAAGCCTCAGCACAATCTTCTTCGTGGTTTTAGCCTTCTTCCGGAAAATTGGCTTTGTCTGCCCACCATAGCCACTCTGCTTCCGATCATAGCGCCTCTTCCCCTGTGCATACAGAGATTCCTTGCCCTTCTTATACTGCGTCACTTTGTGGGGCTGATGCTTGCCACACTTCTTACAGAAAGTTCTTCGGGTTTTAGGGACATTGACCATCTTTGCAGTGGCACAGTCTACGCAGCGTAAACTGTAGTAAAATAAGATAACAGACAGTAAACATTTTGAAAAGTGCTATGAAATAGCAAAAATACAGACTACACTACTCAGTAATGTATACATTGACAAAGTATTCATTTTCCACACGAATAAGTGGACATACAAGCGTTTCATATTTTCGGGGATTTTTAGTTTGAATTATTGGGAGAATTTACAACGAAATCATTTAAAAACAGCAAGAGCAGCAGCACTCACTCATAAAGCCCGGTATTGTCACTTCCTTGTACAATACGGGTTTCCTTTTCACTATGGCTGCACAGAAAGAAAAATTGGAAATTTACTTCATTTTTTTCCGTAAACAGGCCCAAGATTCGAGTTTTTAAGTTTCTTTTCGATTCCCCTGCCCGCACCCTTTTCCTCATTTCCTAGCTTCTGGGTATGACTGGGTGCAGTGGAAGGTACTAGGTTTTGGTATCGCCGGCCTCACTCCTTGGAGAATCTATCGGCCTGAATTCACCTTCCCCCCGCTCAGAAGCACGGTCACTCGCCAGCGGTCCTGAGGGCTGACGTGTCCTTAACAGGCCGGCGTGCCTCTCGGACCAGCAGTCGCCACGCATGGGCCCCTTTCCTAAAGGGAAAAGCTAAGTTTTGAACTCAACCAAGCCAAACGACCGCGTCTTCCCTTCCTTACAATCGCCCAGATTCTGATCAAAGAAGGCTCCTCTCAGAACCTCTACAGTTTCCAACTTAGCTTACCAAGAACTTCAGCGTCCACGTTCCTCGCCTCACACGGCTCGTGCCTAACCGGAAAAGGAAGAATGAAGCGGAAAAAGGAACTGAGCTTGAGCGACAATACTAGGAACCAATAGCTAGCAGGCAACAACACACAGGCATCTCGGGAAGCGTCTGGGAAGCACCAATCAACAGACAAAGGGGCGGGCCAGAGGGGTGTGGGCCGGAGGGCCGCTGTGCGCGGCGGGCCAGTCGCGGATTGTCAGAACGGTCGCCAGCTGATTGGGGCGAGGTTACGTTGCTAGGTCTTGGCCGCCCGGGGCCCGCGTAAAAATGAGAACGCAGAGGACGCACGGTCGCTGGAGGCGTAGGTAACGAAACTAGAGTGCAGTGGGGCCGCGGCGGGGCTTCTTCCGGGACCCTTGGTGCCGAATGGAAAGGACCGAGGCAACGCCGAGCCGCGGCTCCTAGCGGCGGGGCAGCTGCTCAAGCTGCAGCTACCAGACGAAGATGTGTGAAGCGCGGGCGACGCGGGGAAGCTGAGAACCTTCGGGCCCCAAGACCCCCGGGGCCCGGGATGAGTTAGCTAGTCAGCCGTGGGGGCCAGCTCCAACTGCTACAGGCCGAGACGACGGCCGCCGCCCGCCCCTTCGTGCAGAAGCCGCTAGCTCTTTCCGCGCCCGCCTTCCTGCATACCCGGCCCCGGAGACCATGAGGTTCCGCATCTACAAGCGGAAGGTGCTGATCCTGACCTTCGTGGTGGCCGCTTGCGGCTTCGTTCTGTGGAGCAGCAATGGGCGACAAAGGAAGAACGAGGCCCTCGCCCCGCCGCTGCTGCAGGACGCCGAGCCCGCACGGGGTGCGGGCAGCCGAGGTGGGGACCACCCCGCTGTGTCTGTGGGTATCCGCAGGGTCTCTAACGATTCGGCGGCCCCGCTGGTTCCGGCGGCCCCACAGCCAGAGGCGGACAACCTGACGCTGCGGTACCGGTCTCTGGTGTATCAGCTGAACTTTGACCAGACCCTGAGGAATGTAGATAAGGCCGGCGCTTGGGCTCCCGGGGAGCTGGTGCTGGTGGTGCAGGTGCATAACCGGCCCGAATACCTCAGACTGCTGCTGGACTCTCTTCGGAAAGCCCAGGGCATTGACAACGTCCTCGTCATCTTTAGCCATGACTTTTGGTCAACAGAGATCAATCAGATAATTGCTGGAGTGGATTTCTGTCCAGTTCTGCAAGTGTTCTTTCCTTTCAGCATTCAGTTGTACCCCAACGAGTTTCCAGGCAGTGACCCCAGAGATTGCCCTAGAGACCTGGAGAAAAATGCAGCTTTGAAGTTGGGGTGCATTAATGCCGAGTATCCGGACTCCTTCGGCCATTATAGAGAGGCCAAGTTCTCCCAAACCAAACACCACTGGTGGTGGAAGCTGCATTTTGTGTGGGAAAGGGTCAAAGTTCTTCGAGATTACACTGGCCTTATACTTTTTCTAGAGGAGGATCACTACTTAGCTCCAGACTTTTACCATGTCTTCAAAAAGATGTGGAAACTGAAGCAGCAAGAGTGTCCTGAGTGTGATGTTCTCTCCCTCGGGACCTATACTGCCAGTCGCAGTTTTTATGGCATCGCTGATAAAGTCGATGTGAAAACTTGGAAATCCACAGAGCACAATATGGGTCTAGCCTTGACCCGGGATGCATACCAGAAACTGATAGAGTGCACAGACACTTTCTGTACTTATGATGATTATAACTGGGACTGGACTCTTCAATACTTAACTGTATTTTGTCTTCCAAAATTCTGGAAAGTGCTGGTTCCTCAAGTTCCTAGGATTTTTCATGCTGGAGACTGTGGTATGCACCACAAGAAAACCTGTAGGCCAGCCAGCCAGAGTGCCCAAATTGAGTCACTCTTAAATAATAACAAACAGTACTTGTTTCCAGAAACTCTAGTTATCAGTGAGAAGTTGACTATGGTATCCTTTTCCCCACCTAGGAAAAATGGAGGGTGGGGTGATATTAGGGACCATGAACTCTGTAAAAGTTATAGAAGATTGCAGTGAAAAATGAGTTACAAAAACAAAAGTAACAGTCTTCTGTTTTTGATATTTGTCCAAACAGGATATATAGTTGAATAAAAAGTTTTAGGAACTGGTTTCTGCTTTAATACACACACAAAAAAAACACCTCTTGTAAAAGGTGTCCAAATACTGTTATTATTTCTAGTTATATCTGATTACAATTTAAAACTGAAGTTTTCATGTCAGGGTTGTTTTAAAGCTCAACCCCCTCTACTAAAGTTAATCGTTATTGTTAATTGAGCAGAGAAAGAACCTTATTAAATTCCATCTATTAATCTTTTTATCTGGAACTTTGTACACTTTTCCACTTTGAAAACTTATTTGAAGTACAGCAAAGTTTATTTTAAATTATCATAGTGGTAAAAGAGTTACAACGAAATTGCTCGAGTATTAATGGAAGGAGCCCAGTTTCACTCTTGACACAGTTATTTGGAAGGCATTCTTCACTGGTTTTATAATTCAAAAGTTATGTTTGTTAAACACCCTGTCAGAACAGTCATTTTCAGTATTACAGAGTCCTATACTATTGTGTTAAAATTTGCTTGTGCTTTGGAACCTTCATAGAACATACTTTCTTTTGGAATGTGTATGATTGATAAGAAAGTTTCAACATTGTTTTCATTTCAATGTAGAAATACAGTGCTTTGTTTGGGGTTTTTTTGTTTTTCTTTTAGTGCTGCCAAAATAAAATACTCATTTTTTGTAAAAAGATTCCTAATTGTTTTGCAGAATAAGTTTTACTAATCTTTTACTCCAAAATTTAGAGGAGGCATTCAGGGAATTTTGAAAGTTAACATTTCATCTTAATATTTAGGATCTGTACATTACATAATTGAGTTTGAAATAAAACTCAGTTCATGACAATGCATTCCCTTTGGAAGAAACTGGCTTTCAAATTAGCCAGGCATAGATAATGAACAATAAGAAGTTGCTGTGTAAGGGAAATAGACACTGAATTGTTTTGGAAGCTAGAAATAATACAAGGTTCATTCTTGCCAAAGTGAAACCCTTTCACATTCCAGCTTTAACTGAAATCATACTTTCTAAAGGAGCTCTGGTAGCGTAGTGGTTACAAATCGGGCTGTGAACCTTAAGGTCAGCGGTTCGAAACTACCAGCCGCTCTGCGGAAGAAAGATGAGGCTTTCTACTCCCGTAAAGATTTACACCCTCGGAAACCCTGTACCGGGTAACTATGGGTCGGAACCGACTCAATGACACTTAACAACAACAACAACAAAGGACAGATACAGTAAAAATAGGAAGCAGGCTTGAAGTTTACTCCTTATTTAATGTAGAAATGTATGGATGCTTCCTTTAAGACTAGTTTCTGTGTAAAGGTATTACAATCAGTTAACTTCAACGTAAGAAAATCATAAACTGAATTTGTTCAGTGTCATAGAGTCAGTTTGGACCTGGTGAAACTGACCTTGGGGATCAAACTAACAGCCCACAGTGCCACACCAGGATGCCATATATACTGAATGTTATTAAGTGCCATCGAGTCAATTCCAACCCATAGCAACCCTGTAGAGGGTTTCCAAGGAGCAGCTGGTGAGCTTGAACCAACCTTGCAGTTCAAAACACGGCTTTGCAGTCTATGACGCATTAGCCCACAGTGCCACACCAGGACTCCATATAAAGTATTGTGGTTGAAAAAGATCCTGGTGGCAGTCTATTGGAAACCCCAAAAGCAATTCTCTGTCCTCTAGGGTCATATGAGTCAGATTCTACTCTAGCAAAGGATTTTGATTTTGGATTGTGATTGCAAAATGCAGATTCTACTCTAGCAAAGGATTTTGATTTTGGATTGTGATTGCAAAACGCAAAAGGTAAAGCGTTCTCTTATTTTAAGACCTACCTGCACACTACTCTCATGCCAACCTGGTTATAGACTGGATCAAATTTTTGTTCAATAAAAACCTGTTAGAATTTTCTTCTGGTCTTACATAAAAGTACTTTTCCACAAGACTAGTTAATTATTAGGTCTCCTGGTATGGCTCTGTAGGATAAGCAGTGGACTGCGAACCACAAGGTGGGCTGTTTAAACCTACCAGCTACTTTTCAGAAACTGTACTTAGGGTCAAAATATGAGTCAGAACTGACTCAGCAGCATTTAAATAAGTTTCTTATTAAAACTGAAGATACATGATTGACTGCTGTTTTTTAGGTATCAAATTGATTAGAAGATACTGGCAGCTTGTTTTCATGTATTATAATGAAAATTTACCTATGGAGCAAATTTTCAGATTGAAAAAATTCTCATGTTTTAAAATTCTTACATAAAACCAAAAGATGTTTTAATACTGCAGTGTTGTTAATTGTCGTTGAGTAGGTTCCAATTCGGCAACCCTGTATAGGGATTCCTGGTAGCAGCTGGTGAGTTTGAACGACCAACCTTGAGGTCCCATGCTTATCCTATAGCGCCACACCAGGACTGCAATAGTAACTTACAAATCTTAAAGATTGAATCTTCAAAATCATTACTAAATAACCTTTATTATACATTATAGTTTATGTGGCATACATAAGAAAGAATGAAAAATGCTAAATTTAAATATCATACATAGTTTAGATTGTTATTGGTTTGTAAAGTAAGTAAACTCTATTTCAAGCATAAATACATCCTGCTGTGTGGCACTTTTAAACCAACAGTTTTGAGATTCTCATACACACATTAGTTTCTAGTTAATTGTATTCTTGAGTACTCTTTTCATAATAGGCATTACAACTTTGTTGTTGGGTGCCTTTGAATCAGTTCTGACTCATAGCAACCCTATGTACAACAGAATGAAGCAATGTCGTTGGAGCCCTGCGCCATCCTCACATTTGTTGTTTGAATCCATAATTGCTGCTGCCGTGTCAGTTCACCTTGTTGCGGGTTTTCTCTTTATTACCGACTCCACTTTACTAAACATGTTATCTTTGTTCAAGGACATCTTGGCCAAAGTATGAAAGATCAAGTCTCACATCCTTGCTTCAACTGTACTTCCAAGGCAGATTTATTTATTGTGACAGTCCTTGGTACTTTCAATATTCCTTGCCAACACCATAATTCAAATGCATCAATTTACCTACCATCTTTCTTACTCATTGTTTAACTTTCACATGCATATGAGGCCATTGAAAATACCATGACTTGGGTCAAATGCACCATAGTTTTCAAAGGGACATCTTTGCTCTTTCACACTTTGAAGGTCTTGGCAGCAGAGTTGCCTAATGCAATAGAGTTTCATTTGACTGCTGCTTCCATAAGCATTAATTGTGGAACCAAGCAAAATGAAGTCTTACAATTTCAATATTACTTATTGATCCAGTTGTAAGGATTTTTATTTAAAATGAATTTCATCAATAAGTATTTCAAGCCTTTTGCTTCCAGCAAGCAAGATTGTGTCATCTGCTTATCGTAAGTTTTTTTCAATAATCTTCCTCCAATTGTGATGTCATGTTCTTCATATATAATCCAGCTTCTCAGATTACCTGCTCAGCATCCAGATTGAATAAATATGGTGAAAGGATACAACCCTGGCACACACCTCCTGATTTTAAACCATCCAATATCCCTTTGTTATGTTCTAACCACTGCTTCTTCTAAGTACAGGTTCCTCATGAGCACAATTAAGTGTTCTGGAATCCCATTCTTAGTGTTATCTCAGTTTATTACCCGCTGTCAAATGCCTTTGCAGTCAATAAAGTACGAGTAAACATCTTTTGGTACTCTCTGCTTTCAGCCAAGATCCATCTAACATCAGCAATATCCTTCATTCCACGTCCTCTTCTGAATCTGGCTTGACTTTCTGGCAGCGCCCTATTGATGTACTGCTACAACCATTTTTTAATTTAGGAAAATTTTACTTCCATGTGATACTAATGATATTATTCGGTGATTTCTGTATTCCCCTGGGTCATTTGTCTTTGGAAAAGGCACAAATACGGATTTCTTCCAATCATCGTCTGGCTCTGTATCAGATGGTTTTCTGCTACTATTCATAAGGTTTTCAGTGGCTAACCTGTCGGAAGTGACCTGCTTCTCCTTCTTCCTAGTCTGTTTTCTCTGGAAATTCTGCTGAAACCTGTACACCATGCATACCCCTGTTGTTGTTAAGTGCCGTTGAGTCGACTCCAACCCATAGCAACCCTGTATAGGATTTCTGAGGAGCAGCTGGTAAGCTTGAGCCATCAACCTTGAACCGATATTTAAAATATAGGTGGTATAGCTTCCAGCATCACAACAATACACAAGCCACTACATACAGATGAGTTGTTGTTGTTGTTAAGTGCCATCGAGTTGGTTCTGACCCATAGCGACCCTGTACAGGGTTTCCGAGGGTATAAATCTTTACAGGAGTAGAAAGCCTCATCTTTCTCCCGCGGAGCAGCTGGTAGTTTTGAACCGCTGACCTTAAGGTTCGCAGCCCGATTCGTAACCACTACGCTACCAGAGCTCCTTCTTGAGTAGTAATATTATAACTTAATATTTATTTTGAAATTTGATTAAAATGATTGTGGTGGTGTTAAGGGCCACTGAGTTGGTTCCAACTCATAGAAACCCTGTATAGGGTTTCTGAGGAGCAGTTGGTGAGCTTGAATCGTCAACTCTGTGGTTCAGACCAATCGTGCAGTCCTGCGCATTAACCCACAGTGCCACACCAGGACACACACACACACACACACAAAATACAGAAGTAAATAGATTTCAGGTTATATTAAAACTAAAGTTGAACTTTGCATTAGTAAAACACATCTGTCAGAGGACTCACAAAACTTACCTCATTAAGTAAAATTTAAACTACCTGGAGGCAAAACAAACTCCTAACAAAACAAAAGCTCACACGTTTTTCCATTAGAATCAAAACTGCAGTTTAATTTTATGCACACCTGAAAAGATTTAGCTATAAAACAATATTTAACAGTATTTTTAGGTTCTAAATTTTTTTGTTAACCTTTACATTCCAAAATTATTTAAAATTAGTCTAAGTCATATAGCAAAGAATTCTGAAAACTGAATGCACACTGAGTCACATGATCTTTAATAATGTGCACACTACCATCCTGTATATTGGTCTCTTTTATGCTTTCAAAAGTAGATATGTGGTGAGCTGTAGTTTTGTTTTGTAGTGAAGATAGACGATCTCCATCTAATTCTTCCTCTCCAGTTAATTTTGGTTCTTTTAAAATCTGTATTTCCTCATCTGAATAAACAACACATTTTTCTTTTATTAACTCAGGTTCTACTTTTGACTCACTTAGTTGAGATTTTCCAGACAGCACTTGAGAAACATCAAGAGACTCATGTTGCAAGCATGCAACTGAGCCATAACTGTCTGTAGCTAGAGCACTATCTGCTATAGATGAATCAGAAGGTCTGGCATTTCCCAGTGAATGATCTTCTTCAGTTTCAGTAGTGGTGAGATGTTCTGTATTTTCTTTTTGAGTCAAATGACTTCCTTCAGTGAATCCTTGCTTTACATGAAGCTGATTGGAGTTACTACATTCTTGCACCTGTGTCAAGAGAAATAATAAATTTAATAATTCTTTGCAATAAACAGAAAATTAAGTTGTATCCTTTGGAAATAAGATTTAAAAGTTGTAAGGGAATACCCTTTACACCACAGCAATGCTTTATACCTTTATACCACAGGTACGTTTCCAAACTTTCCCCCTGATAATTACTCTCCACATGATACCAATCATTTCTTTAAAATGCAAACCTGGTACAAAGGCTCTGCTTAAATCCTTTCAATGACACCTTGCTTCCTTTATGATAAAATAATCCAAACTTCTTAATACATCCTATAAAGATCTTTGACCTAACAGTCATGAATCTTAAAAGGGCATTCTTGCACTTCATGGCTTTCTGTGAGTATTCAGAGTTACTCCTTCCTCCAATTATTAATGATAAATTCTTAACATTTACTAGTTGCTAGTTACTAAACTGTTTTCAATATGCTCAATTTTGAAGACTATGAAAATGACCAAAAAAATTAGAAAGATTAACAGTTTGGCATAGTTCCCATGGTTTGAGAATGAAAGACTTGTTTGTATCTCTGAATTAGTACTCAGACCTCCTGAGTGTTATTTTCTCTTTGCCCATCATTGCAGTTATTTTGGAATCAGAGATACGTGAAAATAAATAGGAGTATTTAGCACGTAGTAGATACACACACCTCTTTCTCTCATCACTTCCCATGCCACTATGTGTATTTTGTTTAAAGTTATGACATCAAGAATTAGGTTTTATAGCTCAAAATACTGACAGGGAAGGAGTCTTCATATTAGGTATCAATCCTATTCCCTCTGTATACCGGGTAGATAGGGTCGGGCAACTTAGACATTGGCTGCCTAAAATGAGAGGGTGATAAAGGTACAAAGTGACTGGCTTTCAAGAGGGAGTTTAGTTTAAGAGTGTGCAGGGAAAGGTAGAGTCCTCACTGAATAGTTTTCATCTTGTCTAGATGGGGATCTGGTGAAAAGAGATGGGGATAAGATTCTTATGATTCATTAGTGTGTTAATTGTTATCATAACTGAGACTGTCACAACTGTCAAAGTAGAAGTTCTGTAACAAAAACGGGGGAGTAGTTAATATTTTACAATTCAGGAACAGAGGACACTTAGGACCATCAAGGGAGAAGAGCATGAACAGAACATGAGCCCCTATCCAGAGAAGCAGCAACAACAGAGATGGAAGCAGAGATGAGGGCATGGAGACAGAGGGCGGCTGAGGACTCTGGACTCATGGAAAGAGAAACACTGAATGTTGGTAGCCAGGAGGCAGGCTTGCAGAATGTACCCTTTGATTGTTTAAATTATTTTATGTTCCTGAGTGTTTTTGTGTACACCCGCCCCCTCCCCCCCCCAAAAAAAAAATAAACCCAGAGGGAATGGAAGCAAATACTGTTTAATGATGATGCACAGAGGAACCTGTAATCATTGCAATGAAACGATGAGTGTAAAAATCAATGTTCTCCCAAATAAACTATCCCTCAATTCACAAGAAAAACTTTAAAAACAGCATTAAGTTTTAAACATGTCCTAAATCAATCCTCTAAAAAACCTACCAATATCCTTACCTTTGCATGAATTTGAATATTATTATCAGTAATCTGAAGAACTTCAATTAATGGTGGGGTTAGGGGTATTGTCTGTTTCAATGGAGAGCTCAGGACTTCATCAAGAAACGCATTAACGTTCTCTTCATTGACAAACAACCTTTCCTAAAATAAAAAGGAAGAAAATAGTCTGCTTTATAGGTCATACCTGACACAGTTGCACCTGAATGCAGCTCCCAAAAAGACAGTCTAAGTCTCACACAGTTCCTATGCTGTTGTGGCAAAAGAAAATAGAATATTATAGAGAACAGTAAGAATTACAAGAATAAATACATATATACATACACAGGAGGAAACCTAAAAGAAAATAGTCCTCATTCTTCTAGTTCTCCATAAAATCTGAGGTATATTTTCACTCCTATATAACATTACTTAAAATTGACATTTTTATTTCTTTTTTGCCTAATATTTCATAGCAATAACAACCACTAGGGTTAATGCAGTCCCAGCTATAAATGCAATTCTGTTTTAGAAAACTTCCTAAGGGGTTGGCTAAGACATATTCAAACTTTCTGTGCTCAGCTTACCTTTTAGTGCTTAGGCAGGTAAGAGTCAAATGTATTTTCCTAAAAGAAATATGTTCTATTTTTAAACACTGAGATACTCCAGTGTGACACTGGTATACAGCTCTTTGTAAGAATGAAGTAGATTTTGAGGGAGTTCCAAACTAAGGAAATGTAAAACTCACTTTCCCCAAAATCCCAAACAGAAAGCAATTTGTTTCATATTTATGTCAAATGAATATAGGCTAGAGTGTGGAGGGAACAACCCTATTTAAAACTACTTAATACATAAAAGCAGTTCACTGCTGTCCTGATTAATACAAGTATTTTCCTGTAAATTTTCATAATAAACAACTTTTATATTACAAAATAAATACGGTTCATTAGGTGGTCCAAACAGAAAAGAATGAGAAAGACAGTTTCAAACTTCCTAACATTAGATTCTAATAAGCGGCTGCTACTTCATTCAGCTGCTAATGAAAACACTACATTAAGCTTGTGACAAGACATCCTGAGACAAACTGCATCATTTTGGTTTTGTTTTTCTGAATGGCAAATGTTATACTAGAAAAGTCTGTTAAATTTTTCAATCACTAGGGTTCTTTGCTGCTTCAGAGAAGAATCTGTGTTTCTTCCAAGTGAAGTATGGTTTAGGGGAAGTAAGACTCCTAAACTTCCTGATTTAAGTTTATTCCCTTTCTGAAGAGGGCTAGTCCTGCCACTTACTAAAGCAGGAAGTCTAGATATTTGCTACAGAATCTATGAAAAATGTTTGATGACCACAATGCACTTGTGGGTACACACTCACTTCATAAAATTATCAAAGGGTTTTGTGACCCCACAAGGTTAAACAATCACTTAACTGTAGAGTGTGGGGCAAGTCTTGCCTCAGGTCCTTAATCTACAAAATAAACTCAGTGGACTGGGAAAATTTCAGGAATTCCTCTAAATTGTTGAGCTCAGTGCCTTGAAACTTTGAATCCTATCCTGAAAAATAGGTCCCACAATAATACAACAATGGTATAAACTAAAAAGGAAAGAATGAATTTATAAGATTACTGTATTATGTATATATATGTATGTTTCATACACATGTGAAATCCATTAGGTATAAAGGCTGCTGGTTACTACTATTGTTTCTAATAACTAGATTCATTCTCAGCAGATTGAATTAATACAGAACTAGCACTTTTCATTGGATTTATAATGGTTAAGCTATTATTTTACCCAACTTTATAGATACTATGCCTTTTTACAATTTTGGACAGTCAAAATAATTCTTTAGTGGGAATATACTGTGGTCCTAGTGAATAACTCAGCTAAAGAGTTGTTTTATTTGTTTTTACTAACTTGGTTATTTGTTTTTTAAGTTTTATAATATTTGAGCAACAATTATAAAGCTTAAAAAAAACCTATGAAAGTGATTTGTTAACATTTAGAGCACTTTGATTCGTTACTATTTGAAGATACAGATGAACATGATGGTATTGAAACACTCCCATTAGAGGCATTTTTTAAGGTTTGTTTCTGGAAAAGATCTTTACATGGTTGCTAAAAATATGTACAATAGCTTCATCTTTAGTTAATCCAAGGAAAAATATTTATAATGTAAATCATTTAGATTAAAATACAAAGGATTTGCATAAATTTACCTTCGCATCCTGTTGCTGTGTGCCCTCAAAAGTCAGTTCGTTTCTGAGAGCAACTAGTGGGTTTGAACTAACAACTTTGTGGTTATGGTTCAGTGCTTATCCTACAGCACCACATCAGAGCTTGTCTCATCCTAGTGCCTGATTTTATTATAAAGCTACTGAACTCAGTTATATACAACTATAAATACTACTTGTTTAAGATTTGCACTCAACTGTTAACCTAAAAGTTGAACCCAAGAATCCTGGTGTGGCACTGTGGGCTAATGCATCAGACTACAAGTTGTTTAAACTGCAAGGTCGGTGTTCAAGCTCACCAGCTGCTCCTTGGAAACCCTATACAGGGTAGCTATGGGTCGGAATTGACTCGACGGCACTTCACAACAATAACTGGTGCCATGGAAAAAAGGTCTGGAAATCTGCTTCTGTTAAGATTATAGTCAAGATGCAAAATGGTCCAACCTCTCTGGAAAACAATATGGTGTTTCCTCAGAAGGTTGAAAATAGAAATACCTTATGATCCAGCAATTCCTCTACT